GTTATGAGAGGTAGGCTTGGGTTTACAAGAGCTGAGCAGGGCAGTTGAGAACCGCACCTTTTGGAGATTACTCATTCATAGGGCTGCCATCAGTCCCTTGATGGCACATAACAATGAGAACTCCTTGGCTGGCAACTCAGCCACCACCGTGAGAAGCTGCATCTCAGGACATTCGCCCCGGCCACCTTTTCTGTCCACCTACTCTGTCCCTCTCCGTGCTGTGCTAATAATCAGCCTTTGGTTAAGAGCATGCTCACTGGTTGTCGCTTTTCATGACAACCTCATAAAAGCTTGATTTGTTTTCACCCGGGGCTACCAAAAGAACCCAATGGAGCCGAGGTGCTTGCTAATAGCTCGGAAAGGCCCAGGAGTCAATCATCCTACGACTCATTGGGATAAACGGTTGGTATCGATCAGTGTTTATGTCAGTGCTGTGTCAGCTGCTGGGGGAAAAATAATCACCCTGCTGTTTTCCTCCCTAGTTTAGCCTTTTAGCGCTTTTTTGACATGAAAATTAAAGAAGAGAGCTACCCACAGAGCAGGATATGGATTTGGGGGTGGTGGCGTTTGTGTGTTGCTCTTTGCTTGAACTAAATGGTCTTTTGTTGTAATGTGCATGAGATGTGGGGACACCCTCCAGAATTATTTCAGGGCTTATAATGATACCCCCAGAAGAAGGGGTGGGTAAACCACTTCTGAGGATTCTCTAACTGGAATACCCTGAAAATGGGTCACCATAAGTCATAATTGTTTTGAAAAACGCCATGATTGCATTATGCGCTGGTGACCAAAATGCAGTCGCTCGGCATAATTAATTACACTAGAGTAGGTCCCTGAATCAGTGGAACCTGTTGAGGAGTTGACTCATTATATTCCCACTGATTCAATGGACCTACTCTATTTACTGTGTTAAGCAACCAGACAAGATTTGGCCACTGGCAGCTTCACAGTTAAAAGGGGATACAACTTTATTCATTAAGAGATGGGGCATGCTTAGCCTTGAAAGAGAAGACAGAGGGGTTATAAGATAACACTTTTCAAATACCTGAAAGGTTGTCCTACACAGGAGGGGCAGGATCTGTTCTCCATCATTCCAGATAACAGAACATGCAACGATGGGCTCAAGTTACAGGAATTCATTCCAGGTAACGGAACATGGAACGATGGGCTCAAGTTACAGGAAGACAGATTTTGACTGAATATCAGGAGAAACTTCCTAACTGTTAGAGCAGTACGACTGCTGTGTTATTTTTACTTCTTTTTTTTTTTTTACATTTTTATTTCTTGCAATTCGGCATAGTGCTACTACAGAATGACAGATAGAAAAATATTTAAAACAGAAGCTTCCCTACAGCTTGACACACATGCATGGAAACAGACCTAAAATATTTAAAACAGAAGCTTCCCTGCAGCTTGACACACATGCATGGAAACAGACCGACGGACATACCAACACACCAGCGAGTGGCAAACACCACAGACACAATTTACACCAAGAGAGAACACATAGGCCAAATGTATTGACAATAAATAGATTTCACTTGTGTGGAATCTCACAGCCAAGTAAAATACCTTGGTTTCTGACCAAAAAACATGCTTCTCACGCAATATGCATCATGTAGTCACCTTTTAAAAAAATGATTTGAAACATGTTAAACCCAGTTCAAATATAGAGGGCTTTTTTCCATGTGTAACCATGCTCCCAGTTCAAAATACAGAGGGCTTTTTTCCATGTGTAACCATGCTGTAACAGAGAAGGGGGAGATAAAGAAAGAGAGAAAAGAGGATAGCAGAAAGTGAGTTAGGAGAGACAGTAAAAGAGAGGGGATTGACTGTATAAGAGAGGGAAGGAGAGAGGAGAAGAGATAAGATGCCCCACATCTTTTCCACCCTGGCCTTGCCCACTGGGAAAATATGGATCTTGACCACAACAGCAACATGTCACCCCACTGCCAGACTGGCAGCAATTTCTGAGTCGGAAGGGCTGTTCTTATGCAAGCGGCATCCGTCCCTACTTCTGGTATATGTGAGGTTCCTTCACCACATTTCCAGTGGCGCCCTTGTGTGTCCTTAAGTAAACAGCGGGTTTTTTGAAGTGTGCCACCCATTCCTAGCTGGAACCAACGGCAAAGGGCCCGTGGATTCCAACGAGCTTGTGCCGCACGCAAAGAGCAAAGGCAATTATATAAACAGGGGCGCTTCCAGATGAGTGAAAAGCTTGCTCTTTCCGTGTCTTGTGGAAATAGCTAGGGGAGGCGTGGGGTGGGGATGGGGGGGCGCATCTCGGAAGACACTTCCTGTCGAAAGCTCGCCTGGGAGCAAGTGATCAGTTAAAACAATTGGACAGATCATTAGGGGATGTATTCGAGCAGAAGGATCACAGCTGACCTTCCCAGAAATCTCTAGAACGGGCGAGGACCTAAAATCTTCAGGAAGCCGCTGGCACCCGTTGGGTTGGATCAGGTGCCTCTCCTGGGTGCCCCAAACCCTGAAGGGACCCAGCACCAGAGGCAGAACAAGGGGCAGGCGGGCGCCAGCACCTGGCATCTCCTTAGGCTCTCCCGACGGAGTAGAGGGGTCTGCATACCTTCGTTTTTACTTCTCACAAATGCCCAAGAAGTGTGACACAATGTCAAGCTCTCTTAAATGGAGCATTAGACTGGCAGCCCCAGACAACTTGGGATGAATGTCACTGCCCCCATAATTGCCCATAAAATAGAGGGGGGGGGCATCGTCATAAGAGCAGCTCACACTCTGCCCTAGACTCCCTCCAACACAGAACTTGCTCTCTCACTAGAGGCAGCTTATAATCAGAGTTCAGTACTTATTTTTGGACTACAGACCTCACAATCTGCCAGCTTTTAAACTACTGTATTTTCCCGTGTATAAGATGCCCCCATGTATAAGGTGCCCCCCACTTTTCTAAACCTAAATCTAAGTGGGGCTTAGCAAGTGGAGGGGGAAACAGGGATCAAAGCCCTGCCGGATCGCTTTGATCCCTGCTTTCCCCTCCACTTCTTTTTGTTCTTTCCTCAGCTTACTTCCGTGTATAAGACGACCCTCACCTCAATTTTTAAAGATTTTAGACAAAAGGGTAGTCTTATACATGGAAACATAAATGGAAAAATACGGTACTTTTAGACTGTAGATCCCAGCATTGGACACCCTTTATTGGTGTCTGAATAATACATGGAAAAATACGGTACTTTAAGACTGTAGATCTCAGCATTGGACACCCTTTATTGGTGTCTGAAAACATCAAATGCTTTCCATTCCTCATTCGAGGAAATCCTGCGGATTTGCCAGAAGCCACCAACTTCTCATCAAAACCAAACTAAAAATTAACATTCCACCCCTATTATGTCCAGAGCTTGGAAAAGTTACTTTTGGGGGGGCTACAACAAGCAATAGCCACACTGGATGGGGTATACTGGAAGGTGTCGTCCAAAAAACTAATTTTCCCTACTCTGTCCCTCTGATTCTTTATTTGAGGAAACCTCACAAACTACCAGGAACTGACATTTATACACCCATACACTCAAAAGGAAACATCGAGCTACTCTATGTCTCTCATCACCACGACCTTCCCCTCCTGATAACCAGTGGAATTCTCTCCATTCCATCCATAAGAGTGCCTAGAAATGATGGAATCTATTGTCCAACTGTTCTGGAGGGAACTAAGTTCATAGATACTAGAAACCTGTGCTATGCACTTGAGCATGAATGAAAGGACGAGAGTAAATATAATGTATCATTTTGAATCAAACTATACATTGCATTAAGGATATAACTGACAACTATGTCTGTCCCTTCCTTCCTTCCTTCCTTCCTTCCTTCCTTCTCTCTTTTCCTGCCTTTCTAACTTCCTCCTCTCTTTTCCTTCCTTCATCCCTCCCTCCCTCCCTTCTTTCCTCCATCCCGCTAATCAAAACCACAATGCCTCCATCTGCCATCTTCCTCTAGATAGAATTTCTGCACGAGAAAGCTTTGGGAAATTGTAGTCCAAGTGATCTGTGTCACATCTTGAATGTGGGAAGATGAGGCTGCAAAACCAGGATGGGAGGGACCGCTCTGGGGGTGTGTGTGTTCACACCCTGCTCTCTTCCATAGTCTAGTACAATGCATGGGACCCAGCTGGGGCCTTTATATAGAAGATGAGTCGGGGAGTCACAATCCAGCCTGTCCTCTCTTTCGTGGGCCAAGCTGGTGGCTCACAGATTTGTTTCGCTGATTAGAGAGACGTCCATGTTTCTTATGTGTGTGCCATCTATGCACGAAAGCTCCAACAGTGTCACACCCAAATCAATAAGACTGATAATCTGAACAGGACAGCCGTGGCAGAGTGGTTAGGGGCGGATTCTGATCTTAATTCCCTCCATTCCAATCAGCCCCAGAGTCTTGCTTTTTACTGTCTCTCTCGGCCACACGCCCTATGCCCGTCTTCTTCGCTCTCACCCTGTCATCCAGGCTGGGAAAAACTGCTCTGCCTCTAGGTCTAATCAGGATCTCATGCCTCTCCCAGCAACGTGGTCTGTGCGGCTGGTAAGCTGACGAAGCTTTTCCTGGAATGGAGATACGGCAAATGGGAGAAGAAATCTTGCGAGACGCCTTAACGCCAACGTCTTGCAAAAGCGCAAGAACCTTACTGGGAATCAAGGGATGTTTTTCAGAGAACCTAAAAGCAAAAGGAGGGCTGCCCAGCCTTTACCGGTATCTTTACAAAGTTCTTCCTTCATCACTTTTGCCTTCATGAGCACAAGGATCCCCAGCCCTCCCTGCAGAGATGGGCACATATGGCCTTCCAACCCACCCTGTCCGTTGCCCGTCCCAGCAAGCCAGAATGCCAGAAAGCAAGGAAAGCTAGAAAGCGATAAAGTTCTGGAGTCTTGCATCTGAAGGACTCAATGTGAATCGAACCTGCCTGGCGCTTCTTCTGGATTGCAAGCAGGTGGATGATGATTAGAGAAGCAAGTGGATTGCATCTGTTCCATGGCACTCACCTGACAAGGTGAGCTGGCTGAAACGCCCGGGAGAGTGATCCCTCGGTGACCCTGATGCCGCTGTTGCCAGAATGGCACCAAGCTCCACCTTGCATTAAGAACACCACCGAGCGGTCTGCCCTCTTCCTCCCTCGATGCCCATGTGTGCCAAATTCCCCTCTGAGGTTTTTATTGGTGGTGGTTTGCATTCACCCTGGCAAGATGTAAAGTAGGGAGGAGGAGAGCAGAGGAAAAAAAGGGGGCAGAGTTGAAGATTTGGAGCAGGGGGAAGGTCAGCTCCTGCTTGCCGAAAGCTGATCAGACACGGCGAGGGCCGCTGCGGGCACCGAAGATCGGTTCAAACAAACCCAGCTGGGCAGGAAGAATAACGGTGGCTCCCCCAAACAGCACCAGACGGGTTGCAGGTTGGTTGGGCAGGACGCTGCGCTTCTTTGCAAAACTCTAGCTCAGCCCTGCCAAAAACTGAAACAGACCTTTGCCAGCGTGTGCACAATATAATAACAATGGGCAGGCATAGCGGAGGGAGCAGTTGCAGGGTTGATGGCCCAGGGCTTTTCTTGATTCGCACGGGAGGTGACCATGTATTTTTGCTACCCACCTCTCTGCTTGCTCTCTTCCTGTTGAGCTCAGCAGCTCCTAAACAGGGAGACCCAGATGTGTTTGTACTACAAATCTCAGAAGCCTGGTTCCTAAAGTGTACTGGCTGGGAATTGTAGTCTGTGAACATCTGCACCCCCCCCCAAGTTCCAGAACCACTGCTTGGAGCTGATTGATTCTTTTGATTTCTATCCGATCTTTAAACCCCCCGAACTTTATTCCCAAAAGGGTTTAGCAAACGCTTGAAAACCGTCCCCGATGAACACATAAAAAATTAAATAAATTATAAAATGGAAATGCTTCCGAGTTAAAACCGATTTAAAAGCCTATTGATAAAAAAAGGACAGAGCCAACTCTTAAAATATATTTTGTCAGCAGACAATCAATTACTCAAAGTCCGTCTTAATTTGAAATATATATATTTAAAAACGCAAGCTTATAGGTATAGGATCAGTGCAAAGAGGGCGGGGCAAGAAAGGCAGTTAAATATCCATAAAGAAAGTGTGGAATGTGTGGACAAATATAAGTACCTTGGAAATGGATGAATGAACATAGCCATGCAATAAAAGCCGGAATAAAGATGGCCTGGAGCGGCTCTCTTAAGATGAAGAATGTGATACACACCAAAAACTTAAAACCAGCTTTGAGAAAGCACTCTGAGGCTGAGAGGCCGCACGGTGAAGAAGTGGTAAGACAAATGAACGATGGACAAGAAACCACAGCACTCATAAAATGCAGATCGAGAATATCATCATCATCATAACCTTTATTGGCTCTCATAAAATGCAGATCGAGAATATTTTGGCCGCATGGCGGGAAACAAAAAAAGTGCAGGTTGTCACAGCAGATCATTCAAGGTGAAATGAAAGGGGGAATAAGTACAGGGAAGTGATAAAGCTAGTGGCCAAAGAACCCTGGTTCTGGGGTAGCGCAGCGTCATAGTTTTTACATAGGAGAACGGCAGTATCCACAGGAAATCAGTTTCAAGCCCTTCCCAGGGACCCTGAAAAATGCAAAAGGATTGAATGTTATGCATTGCATAGTCTCTGGCTTCCTCTAGTGGCCAGGTTTGGTAAGTACACCCTGGAAATAAATACGTATTTCAAGGGTTTTTTTATTTAGTATTTTCAGGATGCAGATAAGTGAATCAGTGGATGCTGATCCCTTGGATGGGATAGTCCTACTGTATTCAAAACCATGCTATAGCCACGATGATGCCCAACATCCAGCAGAAAAGGAACATTCAAAGCAAAATACCGGGCGGTTTGGTGGCAACATGTAGCAAGACCTGGGTCCGGGAATTTTCTGCTAGAATATGGAGTTGTGTGCAGAACTGATCAAGAGTCCCCCTCCGAGACTAAGCCAGAAGTCATGGTGCCAGAGGCTGTCCATAAGCCCTTCCTTTCCTCTGCCATCTTTTCCCCTCCCACCATGACATCCATTCCCCCTTCTTTGACTCTATTTGCTCACCTTCTGCCTGGAGGTATGGTGGATTTGTGGTTCTCAAGCGAGCATGCACTTTTTCCCTAGTGGGACACATAATAAGTTCACGGGGGCAATGACATTAGCCATTTACCCTGCAATTGGCATATAGATGAATCTGAATAGAAGCCCAATGACTCTGAGATGTTAAAGCTGAATTTGGGGGGGGGGGAGCCCACTGTGGAATCATCTCTTTTGAGAGGGGAATCACCTTTTTCCGTTCAGCTGGCCACAATTAAGGGGGTGTTAAGAGACCCATCCTGTTGTTTTTGAAGCCGTCTACAGTGATATTTGAATCCCTCTACAGTGACAGAAGAACGGGCAGGACTCCTTACCTCCATGCCAGCTCAGGGCGCCAAAGGACTGGACGACGTCTCGTGCTGACCTTCAGCACCCAGATGGCACAGCGTAAGCCTACACAGGTGGCTGATCGCGTGGCAACAGCTTGGCAAAACAAGTGGCTTTCCGAGGAGTCTGGGAAGGAGGGCCTGCTGAGCTTTCCCTCCTCCGAACAGCTTGGAAGAAAAGATGCCCCGGGAGGAGACGAGATGAGGCAGGGGCCAGGATGAATGCAAGGCAGGGTTGAAGAAGGTTAGAACTCTTGGCCTTGGAAAATGTTCCAGCAAGGAGAGGTTGTTAAAAAAAACCCAACGACTGTGGTATGTATGAGAAAAACAGACGAATCTGAGATAGGAAAAGCTTCTTTGGGGTTTAATAATTGCTGACCGCCAAAGAATTGATGCTTTTGAACTGTGGTACCAGAGGAAACTCTTGAGAGTCCCTTGGATTGCAAGGAGAACAAACTTATCCGTTCTGAAGGAAATCAACCTTGAGTGCTCACTGGAAGGACAGATCGTGAATCGGAGGCTCCAATACTTTGGCCATCTCATGAGAAGAGAAGACTCCCTGGAAAAGACCCTAATGTTGGGAAAGTGTGAAGGCAGGAGGAGAGAAGGGGACGACAGAGGACGAGATGGATGGACAGTGTCATCAAAGCGACCAACATGAATTTGACCCAACTCCGGGAGGCAGTGGAAGACAGGAGGGCCTGGCGTGCTCTGGTCCATGGGGTCACGAAGAGTCGGACACGACTAAATGACTAAACATCTCCTCCAGCATCATGGGAGTCGTAGTCCAAAGAAGTATCTCATGGACACACCCTTCTCCCAGAAGGTCCCTTGCAGAAGTGAGGCGAGGCGGTGTGTTAGATAAAGTTTTACTGTTTCATGGAAGCCAGGAGTGTGAGAGGTAGGGTGTTGGCCAGGACTCGGGAAATCTGGGTTCAAATTCCCAACTACTCATGGAAACTCATGGGGGGTTAGCAGTGGTAAATGACTCTTGAACTTCTCAACCTCCTCGGGTTGCCGTAAGTCGGAAGCATAAGGCGGAGGCATGGAAGAAAAACAGAGGCATCAACAGGCGGGAGTCAAAATGGCCACCTCCAGTGTCAGAGGCAGTGTGGCTTTCAGTGCAAGTTCTGGAGGATGCCAGACACACCATGCAGTTGCCTTTGTAGCCTCTGCTTGTCAGGATCCGCTGTAAGACGCGAATGCACACTTTACGCAACCAGCAGTAGGATTATTTTAATGGATATTTGGGTGAAAATGCATCCTTCAGCTCAAAGGATCCATCACTCTAAAATCTTCAGGGCATCAAATGTGACATGAGCTTGCAAGAAAAATAGCTCTAGTCCAGCCCTGGGAAGTGCTACTTTGGGGACTACAATGCCCAGAATTCCCCAGCCTGCAGGGCTCCTAGTCATATTCAGTGGGGAATGCTAGGAGTTGTAATCTCTCCATTACCTTTCCAGGCGCCACTAATTTTCCCACGAAGCTGGGGAAGACTATGGTGGTTATTTTTAAATGCTGCTTTTCTGTGTCATTTCCAGCTGTTCGTGACTCAGGTGCCATCTCGTGGCTTTGCCCCACGAATCCAGCTTCTCGAATCCAGACCTTGTCCAAGTACTAGGGGCATCTACTTCTCCTGGTTTTCTAATGCAGGTCTCCTAATCCTTTGAAGAAATCAATTCCCTGCCCTTCCCCAGGGCAAGCTTTTCCTCCAAGGACGAGGCGTTTATCTTGCAGAAATATCGGTATTTACATTCCTCAGCTGTTCAAGACCTGGAAGGGTAAGAAAGTCCTGCCCGCCCATCCTGTTGCCAAAGCATGTGATTTTTTAAAATGACAAATTGCAGAGTTTTATTCACATGTTTTCCGATTTCGGTTGCAGGGCAGCCTTTTTGAGCGGGACCAAGGGAAGCACATCTTCATATGACCAGTTACCAGTCAGTGGAACTCACTGCCACCAGAAGCCATGATGACCATGGGCACGGATGGTTTTTCAAAGAGGGATACACAAAGGCGGCACAGGACAGAATATATGTGGTGTGTAACAGAACTTGGAAAAGTTACTTTCTTGGGAGTAGAACCTGCAGAATCCCTAGCTATCACAGTCGTGCTGGCAGATGGTTCTGGGAGTTGCAGTTCACGGGCTTGTAAAGCACAACTCAGGAGCATGTTGCGCTACAAGGAGGCGCTGTTTCCAGAGTGCCTCAAGGACAGAAAACATCGAAAACAGACAAGGTGGTCTTTCAGATAAGTCAGTCTAACCATAAACTTTCCAAACATTTAAATGTATTGTGGGTGGTTTTACCCTTGGGTTAGTATTCTTGTTTATAAACTCAATAAAGGCAGTCCAAGTATTAATAAACTTTTAAGTATCTTGTTTGGTTCCTACTAGAGATGGGCAGGAACCACCAGTTCGCTGGTTCGGGCTGGTTTGGCGGACGGCTGAAGAGGTCTTCCACGATTCGGTGGCTTTCCCTTCACCTGGGCTTCCCCTGAGAGGCAGTGGCCAGAGAAGATGATGGGGCAGGGGAGCCGGGGAGATGCCTCTGAGTGGGGTCCCTGCCATCGGGAACTGGGTGCTGAACTGTGAAACA